ATGCCAGTGGCTCGTGACTGTAATCTTAGCTACACAGGAGGCTGAGATCTGAGGATTGCAGTTTGAAGCCAACCCAGGCAGAAAAGTGCCCATAAGATTCTTATCTCAAATTAACCACTTAAAAACCAGAAGTGGGGCTGTGGCTCAAAGTGGTAGTGTACTAGCCTTGAGCAAAAAGAGCTCAGGGACAGCACCCAGGCCCAGAGTACCAGCTCCAGGACAGACCAAAACAAACAAAAAAAAAACTGTCTTTTTTTCTTCCTGATATTGTACAGATCTGGATTTAAAATCTGAGTTAAAGGTGTAGCCCAATGATAATGTGTGTGGTTAGCAGGCTCAACTTCCTGTCATCAATTCATAGCACAAAAAAGAAAAAAGAAAATTAAAAGTCTGATTTTTTTTTATAGCCAAGCACCAGTGGCTTACAATCCTAGCTACTCAGGAGGCTAAGATAGGAGGATCAAAGTGTGAAGCCCACTGCAGCAGACAAATCAGAGATACACTTATTTCCAATTAACCAGCAAAAAGCTGTAATTACAGCTCAAGTGTTAGTGTGCCAGCTTCCAGCAAAACCCAAGCAAGAGTGCAAGGTCCTAAGTTTAAGCCCCAATACTGGCAAACAAACACAAAAATGTATTGTAGAATAATATGCAATGGTGTGTTTCACTGCAATGGTAAAAGAGAAAATGAACATTAAAATAGAACTAATGTAGGACAAACACACACCAAATACACAAAAGGCATCAAAGGCTATGATCTTAAATGTAAACTTTTGTCATATGAGACTGTGGGTGAAATTTGTTTTTGCTTATTTTCAAATTTTCTTTTCACAAAAAGTGCTGTTTGGTAACCTAAAAATTCTCAATATACTGCATGTGCACAAATTGACATGGTGAATTGAGACCCCTATTTAACTATTTAAAGTTAGTAAAAATTGTAAAACTAGACTATTTTTTCAACTTTTAAAAATATGAGGTTGTCATGGAAATCCACTGATATAATTCCCATGAAATATTTGTAAAACTATACAAAGTATGATAAGACTACGTAGTTTTTTAAATTTTTTAATAAAAACTTTCTAAAAAAGGAATACGTATATGAGTAAAATATTTCTAAAATATCATAAACACATATATATCCTTAACAAATACATTATAGATAACATATCCATCACTTAATGTTATATAAGTATATGTATATGATTAATATCCTTTTACAGGCATGCATGTCTTACCAAATTATATTTTCCTGGCTGAATAAGACCCAATTCTAGAAGTGAAATTCTTAGCTTAAAAGAATGATATACAGAAAATTTGGTTATATAAGTTAAACTTAAAAAGATTTATCAACTTAATCCGAGTGCATAAGAATTATATTTTTCACTTTATCATAGATAAAGTCAGTCCATAATTATAACAAAACAAAGCCTGAATATCTCTATTGGAAGCATATAATTTGTTAATACTGATTGTTAGACAAACATTATTTGCACTTTGAAATATTGCCATTGTCTTACTTGTGTTCTCCATTCCCTTTAATAAGGAACTGCTTGTGACTGCCATTTCCCAGTGGAGCTGATCTATCCTCATCCAAGTCAGCATCAGCAGCAACACCAGCAGGGGCTTCACAGCAATGCTTTTTCAATGATATTTTCATTTCATTCCTTTTGTGCTGCTTCTTTTTGTGTTTAACCTTCAATAAAAGTTTGAGGCTAAGTATAATTACCTATCAAAAAATTGTATGTTTTTCTTTTCATCTACTCCTTGCTATCCAACATTTTTACTTTCTCTTTGAGTGAAGTAAAAAGAAAGTGAGAAATGTATCCTGTTCTGTCTTTACTACTTCAAAATTTACATTCAACAGCTAAATTTAGAGAAAGTGACCAGACAGAGCTTTGTGATTGAAATGAGGTTTTCCTTTCCTCCAAGGAGCCAAACTAAACCTCCCCATTGCCTTTCTTTTTCTTTTTTTGCCCATCCTGGGGCTTGATCTCCAGGCCTGGGCACTGTTGCAGAACAACTTCTACTCAAGTCTAGCACTCTACCACTTGAGCCTCAGAGCTACTTCTGTTTTTTCCCCATGATTAATTGGAGAAAAGAGTCTCATAGACTTTCCTGTCTAGGCTGGCTTCAAACTGAGATCCTCAGACCTCAGGCACTTTACTTCAGTAGCTAGGATTACAGGCCTGAGCCACCTGCACTGTGCTCCATTGCCTTCTACAATATTTTCCTCATTGGGATCCTGGGAATGGACAAAGTGAAGTCACTCACTGAAATGTATGAATCAAGTGAGCAACAGTAGTAGGAGTAGAGAAAAGTTGCTGAATTGATAATACGTATTCTAGAAAATGAAATGGCTCCAATTTTCATACTCACTATTCACAGTATTTATGCAACTGAAAGATGAGTGTATAATTACCTACTTGAGCCTTATTAACTTTTGATATTCTTTCTTATTCATTGCTTTATTCCAATTAAGCAGTTTATACGCAAGCCACTATGAAAAAATACATTGGCCTTATGATCCTTTTAGCTACATCACTGGGATTATCTCAGGTTAGAGGTCATATGGTATTCTGGTTTCCCATGTTACATAGCACTTGGAAAATTGACATACTAAAGATAATGGAAAAACAAAGTTTCTGAAAAGATTTTTGTAAACTCTAATTATTCAGATGAAAGAATTGATCCACACTTAAACAGATACCATATTTTATATGTGAGATTCCATTAGCAGAAAATTGAATAAAATTGACTTGCCAAAAAAACCCACAAAAAGACAATAGCAGCAAGTGAAAGTCTCCCTGGTTTTGAAGTGAACTTGTAGTATTCATGCAGTTCATATTCTTCTTATAATTCTTGCTATAATTCTCTTTAGACAAACTTTAGATATTTTGTCACTGTGTGGTGGGAAATAATTGACATTTTTTTATTCAAGTTTTGCCTTTTTATATTTATTAGCCCTATGATTATAATGTAAAGGTTTCTAGTACAAGCCTCATGTGGGTCTTGTTTTCTTCAGCAGCAGAAATGCAGCTGTCATCATTGTATTTGTTGTTGTTGTTGTTTAAATGACACGGTTCATCTCTTTGGCGTGGATAAGCCACTGATCCTTTGGTTTACTTAATATATTAACTATCTAAGCTCCAATAAGTAATATTTTCGTAATCCTCCTGCCTCATCCTCCTCATTGATTACCGGCATGCGCCACCATGGCCAGCAATAATTAATATTTTCGGTCACATTTTTTCCTGATTTTTAAAATTTTGGCTGTAGTTAGGTTTGAATTCAGGGCCTCAACTTAGTTACACAAGTGCTTTACCACTGAGAAATTCTTCCACCTTTTTGCTATGATTACTTTTAAGACAGGGTCTTAGCCAGGCGCTGGTGGCTCACGCCTGTAATCCTAGCTGCTCAGGAGGCTGAGATCTGGGGATCACAGTTCAAAGCCTGCCCAGGCAGGAAAGTCCATGAGACTCTTTTCTCCAATAAACGACCAGAAAACCGGAAGTGGCACTGTGTCTCAAGTGGTAGAGCACTGCCTTGAGCTGAAAAGCTCAGGGACAGTGCCCAGGCCCAGAATTCAAGCCCCACAACTGACCAAAAAGAGAGAGAGAGAGAGCGAGAGAGAGAGAGAGAGAGGGTCTTGCTTTTGCTCATTTTATCCTGGACAATGCATGGTCTTTCTATTTACACTTCCCATCACAACTTGGGTGACAGGTACAAGCACTATATCTATCTTTTTCCACTTCGATGGGGTCTTGCACATCTCAAGACAGGACTGACTACAAACCTAGATCTTAACATTTCTGCTGCCTCAGTGATTGGGATTACTGGTTTGAGCCAATAATTGAGGTCATATTCTTTTCACTGGTGTTTAAACACTTAAACTCCTTTCATTTCAACAGCAACCGGTTCTAAGGTGTTTGCTATTAGTTTTTGTACTTTTCTAACTACATTTCTTCATTTGTACCAAAACATGCAAAAGTGGCTGATTTTCTTTGGTTTGAGTCACAGTCACTTTATGTGCCAAAGTGCATGTTTTCAAACTGACTTTACCTTTCAGAAATGGACAAAAAATAAAAGAAAATACCTAAAATTTAATATTAAACTTCTAATATATCTTTGCCTACTCTCAGATCAGTGAAATTATAATGAAGACATGAAAATAATTAACCTTGGACTAATGTAAGAGAAAACCATGAATCACACATTTCATTTTCTTACTGGTGTTTGAAATAAACTTAATTTATTATGTGTTAGTTTTTCCAAAATCTAAACTTGTTGATTTAATATTACAGAGTTTGCATTACATATAAGAAGATTTGGCCTCACCAAAATTTAAAGACTATGGAGTATGCAAATGAAGCAAACAATAATTTACTAAAAGGCAAAGTCAATAAACACCAACCAGAACAAAAACCAGATTCTCAAACATTAAATTAAATAACACATTTTGGTACTGTTAAGCAGTTCCACAGCTTATCAAATGTAGTTACAATGTATGCTAATGTCTACTAAAAACTAATAAAAATGGTTACCAGTTGTAACATACAGTTACATTTTATTCTAATGTCTACTAAAAACAGTGGATGAAGACTTTAATAAAAATGGCTACCAATTTTTAACACTGATATGAAGTTTGGTAGGAGGTAATTTTGTATACAACATGAAAATCCTTTTGTGATAGGTTTGATTCTCTAATGACCATTGGATTGAATTTATGACCCTTACTCCTTCATTCACTATAGACATAGAAAACACACACCAGAAGTAATTCTATAATCTTGATTCTAATAACTACTCATAACTCCCATTCTAAGTCACTGAGAATGATCTATCTTTTATTTGTTCACTTTTATTTAGTACAATTTGTCTTCTAAAGGAAATTAAAGGACTATCACCTTTCTCTAACATACAGAGAAAACCATCAAATAGGCATAACTTTTCTCGATAGTTCTTTACTTTCTTAACCTATTTTCAGCTTTACAAAAGACTTGGGTGCTTGCTTCGGCAGCACATACACTAAAATTGGAATGATACAGAGAAGATTAGCATGGCCCCTGCACAAGGATGACACACAAATTTGTGAAGCATTGCATATTTTTTTTAAAAAGGAATTGGATGCAACTTTTAAAATAGCTAATTATGATAGCAAATTCTTTACATAATTAAAATATTTTCAATAACTAAAAATAGAATGATCTAGTTTCACATGAATGCAACCCAATGTGTATAGCTGTTAGACTGCTCATAACTTCAGCTATATATTAACACAGATAAAATTTAATCTGACAATCTTTATTATTTAAGTAATATATGTTATACTAAATATGTTATAATAAATATTATACCAATGAACAACAAAAAGAAACATTTGCATAAATTCCAACACTAAACTACTTTAGCCATAATTACTACAGATGTTATGAACACACTAAGTTGTATAATTAAACTATTATAAATGTTATAATACATTTAACATAATATATTATAACAATATAATAAAATACTATAAATCAAACATTATAGACTGATTCTTAAAGGTTAGTCTTAAAGGTAACTTAATTGGAATGTGCTTTATTTTAAAACAAAGAACAGCCAGAAGTATGAATTTGAAAATTTTGCATACCTGAGACTTGATATTTTTCCTTCCATCAGGCTTTTTTTGTTCTTCCTCTAACATCACTTCTAAATTTTGTTTTCCTGTCAAGTTTATACATTTATTTAAAATAACATGCTTCAAACAGTTTAAACACTTTAAAAACACTTGAACACTTAAAAAAAAAAAATAGAAAGCTGCCTGCCGCAGATGACTCACACCTGTAATCCTAGCTACTCAGGAGGATAAGATCTAAGGACTAAGGATCAAAGCCACCCTGGGCAGGAAAGTCCATGAGACTCTTATCTCCAATTAACCACCAGAAAACCGGAAGTGGCGCTGTGGCTCAATTGGTTGAGCGCTCACTTTGAACTGAAGAGCTCAGGGACAGCACCCAGGCCCAGAGTTCAAGCCCCATGACAAAGAAAGGAAGAAGGAAAGGACAGAGAGACAGAGAGAGAGGAAGGAAGGAAGGCAGGTAGGCAGGTAGGCAGGCAGCCAGCCAGCCAGCCGTGGGTGGTAGCTCATACCTATAATCCTAGCTACTTAGGAGGTGGAGACAGGAAGATGGTGGTTTGAGGCCCATAGCAAAAGTTAGTGATACTCTCATAAACAAGTAATAACCTGGTGATACATGTCTGTAGTCTTGACTGCTCAGGAGGCAGATGTAGGAGAATTTTTAGCTTGAGACCTTATCTGAATAATAATCCTAAAAGCAAAATGATTAAGGTATGAACCCTGAGTTCAAATCCTGAGTTCAATTCTCATTAGCCCAATCCTCATTCATTAGCTCAAAAAAGATTTTTAAAAATCAATAATGGTAATTACATTTTTTTCAAATGAAGAATTGAAATCAAGTGTAATTCTAGCTGACTACAGAGTTAGGAAGTACTCGTAAATATAAAAACTCTGAAAATGTTTTAAGTACTGCCTATCACTAGGTTAAAGACATAAAAATAATAGTCAAGTCTGGTGACTGTACAATCCCAGCAACTAGGGAGGCCCAGACCCTGAGTTTAAGCTTCAGGACTGACCCACAAAAAGGAAACAAAACAAAAAAAGTTTAAAGTCATTTCTTAGCCAGAAAAATAAGGAAAAATAAAGACAAATCATTTATATATGAAAGTAACTTGAAATTTACATTTGTGTTCACAACTCCAAGACATGTTAAATTATCTTACCTAAAATTTAACATGCATAATTGGGGTAAAATGAAAATACGTTTTATGTTATATTATATAACACATTTCCTTACAGCTAACTTGATTACATACCTGATTACAAACAATAATTATATGTATAAAAGTAGGCCAAACCTTGAAAATTTTTAGCAAAGTACGAAGATAAAAGTTTAACATACAAGCATGAATTGCTCATCTAGAGTTTAATGACAAACATACTGAGAAAGACAACATAAAAACATTCTGATCTGCCTCAAAAATACCTAGAAATAAACCCAAGGACATCAGATAGATCTATTTTAAAACTATAACCCAAGGAAGGAAGATTAAAGTCATAAAAGGACTTCCTGTATTCATTAGTTGACAAAATTAACCTTCCTGCCTATATATCCAAACTTAAAATGTGATCCTCATAAAATTCCAATGACATTCTTCACAGAAAGAGAAAAACAATACAAAAAATTTATATATAAGCAGAAAGACTCCAAGTAGCCAATGTAATCCTGAGCATGGCTAAAGGTATAACAATTTCAAATTATTCTACAAAGCCATGCTAATACAACACCCTGTTGCTCACACAGAAACGCACATATATGCTAATGGAATACAACAGAGGACTAAGAAATGAATCCACACAGCCAGAGCCATATGAAAATACTAAAAATTGACAAATGTAATTGCATCAAATTAAAAGATTTATCCATATCAAAAAAAACACCAGAGTAAAAAGACAGTATAACAAATAGAAAGAATTACTTGTGAACTATCCATCTGGAAGCAATACATTTTCCCAGAATATATAAACAACTAAAAAATTAAACACCAATAGAATTTTTTAATCCATTAAGTAAATGGACTTATAAGGCAGAGATTATGCAGATTCACTTCAAGGCCAGTACAAAGAAGGAGTTGCCAAGATCTTATCTCAAAAACAAACTGAGTATGCTGTTGGATGCCTGAAATCCCATCTATATAGAGGACAGAGGTAGGAAGATGTAATACCAGGCCTAGTCTACCTCATCAAAAAAACCAAGCCTATCCAAATAAATAAATAATAATAATAACAAAACATGTAGGAAAAAAATGGGCTCAGCACATGGCTCAGGTGGCAAACACTTGCCAATAAGGAAGAGTCCTAAGCCTAGTACAGAAAAAAATCTATTAACCAAAAGTCAAATGAAGAGAGTTCTCAAAATGTATAAATGCCAATTAAATATATGAATATGGTGCACCTCATTAGGCATCAGGGATATTGAACACAAAATTAACTACACTGAGATTCTCTCTTTCTCCAGTCAGAATGATTATTGTTAAGGAAACAACAGCAAATACTGGCAAGAATGTAAGGGAAAGGAACACTCACAAACTATTGGTGAAACTGAAATTTACTCCAGTCATGATGAGAATCATCACAAAGATTTCTCCAAACTGAAAAAACATATGAAAGTAAAAGGCAGATTACTTGAGAAAGCAAAGAGGTATAGTTTGACAGTAAAGGAGTACAATAAAAAATGAGGGTCAATATTTAAATTTAAATTACATTCTATACATATATGAAAATGACAAGAAGAAATTTATTAAAATATACAAAAGTAACAATGTGGTTATCTCCTTAATTAAACAATTTGAAAATACATGGAATAAATTGAATCAAGTACATGAACAAGCAAATAATAAAGGATAAAAATTTATCTTGTATTAGTGGCACAAATTACATTAACTAATACATAAAACTATAGAATACTATTCAGTTTCGAAATGAAATGTGTTTACATTAAAGTAGAAACTTCATTTTTAATAAGTTTTTATTGTGAAAATACTGTACAGAGGGGTTACAATCACATGAGCAAGGTAATGAGTACATTTCTTATCAAGCATTGTTGCCTCCTCCTTTATTTTTCCCATACCATCCCTTCCCTCCCATCTCCATAACTACATCCCACCTCCCCTCATTAAATTGTAAAGTTTGTTTTTCCACATAGCATCTTGTACATCTCACTGTTGCAATGGGTCAACCTGTATCCCTATTTAAACATTTTGTTTTTTCCCTTCCCCTCTCCAAATACTACCAACATCAAATACAGTGAAAAAAGGGGTTATACTACAGAGGAGGGACATACAAAGCAAGAAAAACATCATGTGGTACCTTACAAATATGTCAGAAACAACAGCAAGAAAGAAAAAACCACTTGTGTCCTTATCTTGAAGTTCATTTGGCTTAACATCATCTTATCTGACATTTTCTGATTGTCTCAGATATGTACTAGATATTGCAAATAAGGGAACCATGGGACCTATGTTTCTTTGGACCTGGTTTACTTCAATTAATATAATTTTTTCCATGTCTTCCCATTTCCTAACAAATGGAGTAATGTCATTCCTTCTGATGGAGGCATTGAATTCCATTGTGTGTATATACCACATTTTCTTGATCTATTCATCTACCGAAGTGCATCTGAGTTGGTTCCATACTTAACTATGGTAAATAATGCTGCAATAAACAGAGTTGTGCTGGTAGCTTTAGTATGGTCTTACTTGTGATCATTTGGGTAAATGCCCAAAAGTGGGATTGCTGGGTCATAGGGGAGCTTTAAGTGGAGTCTTTTGAGGAACCTCCATAATACTTTCCAAAGTGGTTGAACAAGTTTACACTCCCACCAACAATGCAGTAGGGTTCCCTTCTGTCCACATCCCCTCCAGCATCTGTTGTTATTAGAGTTCTTGATTATAGCCATTCTAACTGGGGTGAGGTGGTATCTCAATATTGTTTTGATTTGTATTTCTTTTATGGCTAGAGAGGTTGAGCATTTCTTCATGTGTCTATTGGCCATCCTTCTTTCCTCTTCAGAGAAGTTTCTCTAAGTCTTTAGCCCACTTATTTATTGGGCAGTTGTTTCTTTGAGGATTTGTTGTTGGAAGATTTAATTTTTTGAGTTCCAGGTATATTTTAGATATGAGACCCTTGTCTGTTGTATGGCTAGTGAAGATCTTCTCCCAATGCCTGGGCTTTCTATTGATCTTGCTAGCTATGTCCTTTGCCATGAAGAAGCTCTGCCACTTCATGGAATCCCATTTGAACAACCTTTCTTTGATTTGTTGTGTTTCTGAGTCTCTATTAAGAAAATTTTGGCCTGTGCCAAGGAGACCTAGGGTTTCTCCTATTCCATCCTGTAATGTTTTCAGAGTGTCTGCTTTGACTCCGAGGTCTTTGATCCATTTGGAATTGATTCTGGTGCAGGGTGATATATAAGTATCTAGCTTTAGTTTTCTACAAGTGATTAACCAATTTTGCCAGCACCATTTACTGAAAAGGCTGTCTTTCTTT